GCTGTGTTCATCCAGCTCTACACCTTGTTACCTCAGATTTTCCAGCATCGGCAGTTCCTACTATCTCTGAGGCATGTGATTTGATGTTACAGTCAGATCAGCCATGATCTTATTAAACAGTGGAGAAGGCTTTTGCAATCTGAATGACTGACTGGTGTTCCTTGTTCATAAATTCATATTACAATTTGAGACATGGACTGATAGTGGCTTGATAAAAAGCCAAAGAAAAAGCATGACAATGCCACTGAGGCCATACAAACAAAAAAATTATTTTAAGTAAGATTTGCAATATTATTTTGATCATATCTGAATGTTAACTTTAGTTTTTGGTCCCACTTGAACAGATCCATTTTTAAAAATAGTTCACAAGTGACATTGTATGTGGGGATGATTTTATTCAATTTTCATTGTTTATTTAATGGTAGCCCAAATAATGTTTGTGATGGCCAGGGCCCTCTAGACAAGTGAAGAGTCATGCATTTCACACTGAAAGATTGCCTGTAAGAATGTCAGTTCACTTTCAAACAATAATTCAGACAGCATGGTATATAAATGCACAGTAGTTATCTTTCAGTTTTCAGGCAGAATTAGGAGAGGATAAAGTGTATAAAATAAAAATGTATTCTATAATAGAGCAGAAGTCAGAATGAATAGGACAATTGAACTAAAGGAAAATTCTGAGACATAACAGTTCTTGTACATGGCTTGAAAGAAATGAATTTTCCACCGTTGACAATTTTCAATAAGGTATTATGCTTAAGAAAGAGGGAAACTCTCTTAATTTCTTATTTTAACAAACAGAGGGTTTTGCTCAAAATAATTTTTTTATCTGTTTTTCACATGGGTTTCCATAGTAATTCACGTGTTTAAAATGTCAACCTTTTTTTAAAGAAACAGATAATATATCCCCTGTCCAACACTGCACTCTCATTATCTTCTCCTGCTGCCCTGATTCCAGCACAAATTATATGTTACGTTGAGCTCTCGATACACTGTGGTCCTTCAGCAGCTTCTCTCTTCACAATTAAAATTGTTCCAATTCATTGGTTCTCAGCGATAACTCACAGGATTAATTGTAGATCCCTGCCTCATTGGGGATGAACCAGTCAGCCGAACAAATTAGCTTAAAATTAAATGTTTTCAAGGACTGTAGTTACCTGGTGGTGGCAGCATTGACCCTGCCTCTAACAAAATGCACCAACATGCCAGAGACAACCAGAATTCCTTACTGACCTTAAGCATTTAAATTTAAAGAAAAATATACAAGGGTTACAACAGTCTGGACAATGTGAGACCATTAAAATATTGCAGGATTGTTCATAAATCAATTCTTTTGTCAGGTTTTTATTTGAAATTCTTCCCTTGTGATTGCTGTGATTGGTGACAACATCCTATTAGATCAAAACTGTGTTCTAGTTCGTGAAAGAGCTTAAAATATAGTATGGAGGGACTGCAGATTAATTGGTAATAGTACCTGAGCCTGAAAAGAAAATAGGCCCAGTTTGATGTAATATTTGTGTTTTAGCTGCAATGGAGAACTAAAATATTGCTTTATGAATAGGTCCTCATCACAATAATCAAGGTGTCACCCTCTGAGTCAGAAATAACAATATTGCCTCTGAGCTGTGTACTCAACTGATACTCCAGGGATATAATCTGTGTTGAGTTGATGTCCTAAATTCCGTCTCAGGTAAACATCAACGATCACACAGCAATGTTCAAAATAAAAGAATAGGGAAGTTTTTTTTCAACACTGTGCTAATATTTTTCTTCATTAATACACATTATCTTGTTATTTATTTGCTGTATGTGGAACTTGCTATGTGCAACTTGACTACCACCCTGTTCTTATGTCACAACAGGATCAATGGTCTGAGTTTCATAATTGGAACTGGATTGGGGAGGAATAGGGAATCTGCTCTTGGGTCCTCCTGGTTTCAATCCACCCATCACTCAACAACACTAAAGGAAGTTATCTGCTCATTTTCACAATGCTAATTGTCTGACCTGATCATTGGCAAATTGGTTGTCCCATTTCCTACAATTCAGTGGTCCCAATGTTTTAAATGCACTTCATTGGTTATAACGTAATTTGGAGTAAACTAAAGTTACGATATGAATTTAAACCTTGGGGGCATGAAAGGGTGGGTTTTGGGACAGGTGAAAGGATATGGCAGCATTGCAGGACAGCTATTTGGATAATGATACCCAGAGAGGGCCAGGAAGGGATAGTCTAAAACATTGAGAACCAACAGCAAATGACATCAAAGGGGGGGAAATGGGAACAAGGCAAAACTAACGGTTCTTTATATAAATAGACAAAGTGTTCAGAATAAGACAGATGAACAAACCACTTAAATAGCTGTGGGGTAAAGGGTTAATTTTACCTTTACTGTAAAAGGAGCTACTGAACATGTGCGTAAGGAACTATGCCAGAGTGACGTGAAATCAGATTGAACTGGAATCTGAATTTGTAGGGTGAAAAAGCAACCATTATGGGAAATGTCCATAAGTTATGTGCTGACACAAGTTGTGTGCTGACACAGCCAGTGCTCTTATATAACTGAAAAACCAAAGACATCTGTTGATGGAGGAAAATAGTCTCTTCTTTATAAAACAAATTCAGATCTTTAAGGTCAATTAACTGAGGAAAACATTCTGGTACATTTGATGATTGATGTTGCTGCCTTTCAATAAGAAGATCGTGACAAAGGGAGCAAAAATCTTTGCTGAAGTTCACAGAAGTCTATCATGGAGAAATAAGTCCTTGTTAATAATGTAGGTCAAATTAAATTATACCTTACTCAAGAATAACTGTTGAGAGTGTGCATATGGAGCTGTGTTGTGGAGATGTC